TGAAATTGAAGCATTATTTCGACTAGTTATGCTGTACACAGACAAAAAAAAAAAACAAACAAACAAAACACACATCATTGTAAAATCAATACATTCATCACTTCGTTCAGAATCTAAAAATGTAATTACAAAACATCAAACCAGCAATAATTTAAATATTGTGTTTTTTTAATCTTATATAGGAATATAAAATTTGATGTAGGGGAAATGTATACAAATATAAAGCAAGAGGATGAATATCATAAATTGGTAAATTATTTCGGAATTTTATTAAAACTGATTGTTAATCCTAACTTCTACGACTTATCAAATATTCATATTTTGTTAAGGTGCAAACTTATAAAATCGGTAATCCCATATTCAAAAATTTACCAACAGCAATCGATGATACCAAGGATACCTAATTTATTGGTCTATCTATACATTTGAAAGTAAAATAGTTAGTGTTAATTATAAATTATTAGTTTTTTAGAATCTGTATAAAATGAAGGTAAAAATGAAAGATTTATGTATAAAACTATTATAATTTATGAAAAATGTAGTTGTGCACACAAGACAAACATTTTTTTGGAGGGGTACTAAATGTTTTAAAACTAAATGATTAGAGTTCTAAACGTATGACAGATAAATTTAGAGAAATCCAGGGGCGTAACTAGCAGTAAATGTTTGGGTTAGCGAACACTTTTATATGCTTCATCTTCTCCAATAAGCATAATGGGTGAGTACCACTTATACGCATAACTTATTCCTCCTAAATTATTTTAAAATAATCATTATACTTATACAGTTTTATAACATCACAAATAACGTATTTTTTCCTGACAACTATTTAAAGATAAATAAATAGTAAATACACACTGACACTGATTTTTTTTATTAAATTATATAAATAATTTTGGGGTAGCAAAATGATACTCTTGCGACCTCATAAAAATGTTTGGGGTTACGACCGCTACCCCTCGCTACCCCATAGTTACGCCACTGGAGAAATCTAATGTTTAGGGAAATAAATAATTGAAAACCTAAAATCATAGGAAATATTGCACTCAGAATATAATAATAATGAAAATAAATAATCAGATATTTAAAACTGGAAATACAAAAAATTGTTTTCGAGAATATTAATCTTTATTTTTAATTTTAAGTACTACAATATTTGTTGGAAAAATGGAATACATTAACTTCCATAATAATTTTCTATAACTGTGATATAATATAAAAATCACAATTATTCATTAATAATCATTATCAATATTGTTCAGGTTTTATACATTGTTTTATAATTTTGTTATATCTATATATTTTTTGATTAATCAATTTAAACTCTAAATAATATTATGGTTTAGGAATAACTGCCTAGGGTTATAAAAATTATAATAACCTATGTACAAGTCTATGAACCTATATCAGCTTTACAAAAGGTTCGGATGTACGGGTAGAATTTAGTAGTAGATTTATCGTAGGTGTCTAACTTAACCAAAACTTTAGATATAACAACGATCAACTATATTATTTTCATTCTACTGACATTTGACATCCAGTTCTCAATACGTAAGAAGTATGTCAATATAATTGCGATATCAGCTTTCACGGGCCACGGGGCATTGAGCTATCGAACTTATTACAGTGTTATAAATGTTTAAAATTTGTTGGCCCTGAAAAGGGCCTTTTCAATGGTAAAATATGTATGTGTGTATGTATGTATGCGTGGGCATAATTAACCTCCGAAACCGTAAAGAGTACGGCCTTGACGTTTTAGAGCATAGACGACGTCCATGGCGGTGACGGTCTTCCTTTTGGCGTGCTCTGTGTATGTAACGGCATCACGGATTACGTTCTCCAGGAACACTTTCAACACACCTCGAGTTTCTTCGTATATCAATCCAGAGATACGTTTTACTCCTCCACGGCGAGCTAACCGACGAATGGCTGGCTTRGTGATTCCYTGGATGTTRTCACGCAACACTTTGCGATGACGTTTGGCGCCTCCTTTTCCAAGACCTTTACCTCCTTTGCCTCGTCCTGTCATTTTAAATTTTCGGTTACTTTTCGACTGTATCGCTAACGCTGAACAATGAACGGTGACTGATGCTAACACCACAAACTACGTTTTATTTATGCGTCTCACGGCGCGCCAGCGGCCAATCAAAATGCCCGACTGGGTTTCTCCCTCTCTTGACCCAACCGACCAACGGGAACGTCGAATACGGTTCCAATTTGTGTATAAATAACGGCGCTTAACAACTTGTGAACCATTCTTTAAGAATCTGTTCAAATAAGTACATCCGACATCCGAATAAATCGTAATGGCACGAACCAAACAAACCGCCCGCAAGTCCACCGGAGGTAAAGCACCGAGGAAGCAGCTGGCCACCAAAGCCGCACGTAAGAGCGCACCCGCCACCGGTGGAGTTAAGAAGCCACATCGCTACCGTCCGGGAACCGTCGCTCTACGCGAAATCCGTCGGTACCAGAAGAGTACTGAACTGTTGATCCGCAAATTACCGTTCCAACGTTTAGT